TTTTAATAAAAAGTTAAGAAACTTTATTTTTATTTTTTAAACAATTACAAACTAACAATAGAGGTATAAATCATATAATTGTTCAAGAATTGTGTCATTGTCATCGAAGCTAGTATTATTTTATTAATACAATGTAAATTATAACTATCTTTCGAAGAATGGAAAATAAGTCGGCAGTTTCCGAAGTTAATATTATTAGTTTTTCAAAAATTTCTGTAAAGTACATGTCTGAGAGCCAGTAAAAATAACGTATGTAATCATAGATTGTTTTTTTAAAAAAATAATCATCTGTAACTCTACATATGTGTTAACATTAATTAATACAAATTTAAATATCTGATGGATTAATTCGTCTTAAGTTATGTTTTTTGGCGAGACGCTCTGTTTGAGGGCTCTTTCGGATCTTTTTTAATGTGGTGCTAGTTTGGAGCTGTTTTAGAGTTTCAAAGGGTAGTATTTTGGCTATAATTTTAGAATTTAAATTTTCGTCTAACTTGTAGGAACTATTTCGGTAGTAATTTTGGTCATTTCAGATATTTGGAGGCGATTCGGTGCTGTTATAATTCATTCTTTCTTAGTGTCGGCATGTGTGCGCCAATGCACACGTCTTTAGCGGAAGTTTATTTAATGACTTGATGACCTATATTTACAACATCTCTTCCGTGCGCATTATCAGTTGCATTTTTTCTTTTTTATTAAAAGTAAATACCAGAAACACATGAATATTTACTTATGAAGGCATTTACTTATAATTAAATATGAGCGTTTTATATTGTTAAACTTCCTATAACTTTGAACCAAATATTTCGTAGATTTCCAAAAAAATATTCCATAACTTAACTGCTCATTACATTTATGCGAAAACCGATACCTTATGAATATTGAACATTTATATTAATTTAAGGTAAATAGCCTCAATTTAGGCGAAAAAATTGTTTTTCAAACATGACCATTCTTATCTTAGGAAGGTACTGATACCCATGTATTTATACCGTAGAAAATATCAGTTTCCTCTAGATTGTTATTAATATCTCTCACAAACCGCTGGGGAAAGTACATAATCCATAAAGTAGTTTGGTTAATTCATCTGACAAAAGACAACCCAAAAAAGTGAGTAAAAGAAGTATTTTTTTTTTTTATTAATTTGTAACTCTTGAAATCATTTCTTAGTAAAGCATGAATGAGCTTATTTGTATATGTATAGTATAAAATCTGCATTTTTATTATGTTATCATTATTTATTAGCCACAATAATTTAATCTATAATTTTCATTTTTGTTTTTTTCTATTTAAAAAATAAAAATGTTTTATCATTGGAATATGTAATTAGAGCACTCCGTACCTATAGTTACACGTCAATGAGATACAGGCTAATTTTTTAGGGGTTTGTCACGTGGATGACCTAGGATATTTATTTAAAACAGCCGTGACCCCGGAAATACACGGCAATAGCATAGAAGAAATAAGTATTAAAAGGATAACTAAACTGTGGACAACTTTTGCCCGTTATGGTGATCCTAATCCAAAAAAGCACGATCCACTTATTAACGTTAAATGGAACCCTGTCAGTAAAAATAAGATTCATTTTCTCGATTTCGGGGAAAATCTAACTGTTGGCATCAATCCTGAGGAAGAAAGAATGAAGTTTTGGGATCAGATTTACTGTTTAAATCCTACAAAATCGAAATTATAATAATCCTAAAAATTACACAGCCAAAACTCTTCAGAGAAAGGAATCGATATCCTATATTCCTCTGAAGAATTTTGGATATGTACCTATTATAGTTCAGTTGTTATTATAAAAATATACTTTTCGAAAACTTAAAATTTTTGTATTACTTTGGAATTTTTAAAGTTCTATTTAATGTAGGTATAACACCTCACACACTCCTCTAATAATTCCTAATTAATAGGAAGGTGCCCTCAAACGATACAAAAATCCATTTCATTATCTTCTATGAAATATGATAAATTTTGGTTTTACAAAGAAATTTATCTAAACCTTTCCCGAGTAAAAACGATTCTTTTCAATTTCACTTTACCGAATTACGACTAAACTAACTCCATAAATTTCTCTAAAATATTACCGGAAAAGGTCCATTGGCAGGACTAATCCGCCGATTGTGTACGAATGGGATACTGAAACAGTGCCGTATTTAGTACGAAAAGAACACGGATACAGCACCAATTGCTTTTCAGAAAGCTACTGAAATACCACCGGAAGAGCGACGCATTTATACTAAAAAAGGGTCAAAAGAACATTAAAGGGATACTAAAATTTGAATGTATAGGTATATAACATATATATGTATATATATAACTATTCAGTTCATTCATGGATTTTTAATTTTCTAGATGCATACAGATAATTTCTTTCTCAGGGGGATTTACCATAGTATTAGGAATCATATTGAATCGTCAACATCGCCTATTTATTTGTACAGATTTTCTGTAGAGACTAGTCTTAATGTTTACAAGACTCTTGGAGAATTGACACTACCAGGTAATACAACAGCTTGTCCCCTCNCAAGAAATTGCTGATACTAACTACGTAATACTACTTTGCCACGTGCATGTATATAATATTTATTGTTTTTATGATGCATAATTTGATGAATGTGTAAAATATTTTTTTCAACCAAACGAAAATACGAAAATATCACCACTTCAAAAGCTTTAAATTGCATTTATTGGACTTTATTATTTACATGAAAGCATTTGCACGAGTATCTCTATACCCCACAGTATTTATTTTCAAAATATGATGCCGCCCTTTAATAATTACAAGAAATAGAACATCCCTATGTTCAGTTTTCCATTCGCAAATAAGTTATAACAAAATCAAAGATACATGTGTCTGTATATGTAGAAGCTTTAAAACCCATTGAAATAGCTTAACGCGGCACTGGGTCCCCATGACTAAAAATACGTTAACCTTTCCAGTAAAATGATTAATCGGGGGGGCTCTAGTTTTTTATTAATTAAAATGCTCTTTCAAACTGCACTATTATTATATTAAAACTCTTGCTTTATTAGTAGATATTGCTGTTAGATTAAATATGTTTTTATTTTAATCAATAGCAGGGATTGATTTTTGCATCTGTTGTGGACGAGTATTATAAGCACTGTTACTAGCTAATTATTGCCCTTACAATATTTTTTTATGCCATTTCTATGTGTAGTGCCAAATTGGCGGCTCTACAGTCGTCTTTTGTTGAACAGCTGGAAGATAGATTAGACAAAATAGATAAATGTACCATCTTTTAGCGACAAATTAGCCATATCTTAAAGCCCTTACAGTATTATTTCTCTATGCCATTTCTATTTCGAGATACGCCATTTCTTATGTCAGATTGATATCAGATTTTCCAGTAACCGGCTGGAGCGACAAATTTTTGAATTCAATACCTGAGTTTTAAAATTGTTTTGAAGGAGGTGATAATTTCCCATTTACAACAGTGACCGGCTGTTGTTTTATGCTTCGGCCAAAAAATTACGAACAACGGATAGGTACCAAATGTAAATCGACTTGTAATTTTTCAGATGAAATCATTGACATTTCTGCTTTTCCTCTGCTCTTCTGGCTCATATGCATTTATATGCTACGATAAAGAATGCACAGCGACAGAATATAATTCTTACGTTTCATGCGTGCGTAGATCAAAACGCCACATTTCCTGTGCCGAAGAAGACAACTGCGAAAGTTGTATATGCACATCGCTACATTGCTGCCATCGAACGTGTCACGCTAACTGCGAAAGTTCATCCTGTAGAAACGGATGTCGCAAAAATTGCCAAACCGATGTGTCAGAAAAAGGAAGCCATTCGTTTACAAATAAAAACGCCAACATGCCCTCTTTCAAACACAACATAACGACAGTCATACATTTACACAACATAATAAACAATACTAATGTAATCGACGTCCCTATACACATTAACAATACAAATCTAAATAACATAACTCTTCCGGAAGGAAATGGAGGGTCAGGTAATGGGTGCTGCTACATATCCAATCCTCAAAACTGTATTCCTAATCAAACTACACCACCGTATTCGCAATGTCAGGACAATCGCGAATATCACTGTGGGCCGAAATGTTACAATGAAAGAAAATCTACCCCTGGAATATATACTCAATCATCTTTCGGTTTCTATGCACCTCCAATTTCGTATCCACAATATTATAACTCCTTTAATCCTTTCGTAGTACCTGGACTTTTTGGATTTCCAGGAATTTGTCAGTCCGGATTCCTTCCAATGATGCCTTTTGTTCCCCCTATTTCTTCCAAACATTCCTCATACCCACCCTTATATCCATCAGCTTCTGCATTTCAACCAGTTATGCTTCCTCCAGGCTTTACACCCCATTCCTCCTTTGGAAATGCTGCAAATATTGTTTATCCTCCCCTATCAGGCTCCCCTGAAACATCCTCCACACCAAAAAGTGCCCCTTCATATCCATCTAATTAGGTTATTGTGTTTTTTTATAAAGCAGTATTATGAAATGTTTGCCCTTAATCTAAGGTTGTTTTTAATTTTTTTAATACTTAAATAAGATCATGTTCGACTATTTAGATTATTTTTTTTTAATATGTAGTTTTATAAAATGTTTTTCTTTTTGATTGCTGTCTAAGATTATTTATTATTTTTTAAATAAATAATATTTAGATCTGATTGTGTTCCACAAACACCTCACATCATTTTTGTTAAAATTTTTAT